TAAATACATGCACACACATACACACAGAGAGACACAGACACACACACACACACACACACACACACACACACACACACACACACATATTCATTGGGCTACTCTCAATCCAGACAAAATTTTCTAAAATTTTGAGATCACTGCTACACTGACAATGTGCTGGCTGCTATGACTCCTCACCCCAGAAAAAATGCAGTTACAAAATATTTCAATCACAAAGGGTCACAGACATTTCCTGAAGTCACTGGTATACCAGATTATAAAACAGCTATTAAATGAAGGCTGGGTTTAGCGGTGCATGCCTTTAATCCCAGTGTTTTGAGAGGCTCAGGCAGGCAGATTTCTGGGAGTTCCTAGCTAGCCAGGGATAAAAAATGAGAGCTTGTCTCAAAGAAATAAACAAAATCATTAAGTGGATAACTGTGGGATTAAAAAATCAGTTTCTGGGGGCTGGAGATGGCTCAGTAGTTAAAAGAACTGGCTGCTCCTGCAGAGGACCTAGGTTCGGTTCCCAACACCCACATGGCAGCTAACAATCATCAGAAACTCTGGTTCCAAGGGATCTGATGTCCTCTTCTGATCTCCTCCAGCACTGCACAACACAGATGCATTATACACATGCAGGCAATATACTCACACATATTAAATTTTAAAATATTTTAGGGGCTGGAGAGGTGGCTCAGCGGTTAAGAGCACTGACTGCCCTTGCAGAGGACCTGGGTTCGATTCCCAGCACCCACACGGTGGCTATGACCATCCTTAACTCCAGTTCCACGGGAATCTGAAGCCCTCTTCTGACCTCGGATGGCATAGCTATGGTCAGTCCTGAGGTGCCCCATCACACCATCTGTAACTCCAGTTCTAGGGGATCCGATGACCTCTCTGTCCTCTCAGGCACTGAATGACACTGGTGCATGACACACATGCAGGCACAACACTCATATACATAAAATAAAAGTAAAATTTAAAAACCAGAGGGAAACAGAGGCAGGTGTATCTGTGAAATTGAGGCCAACCTGGTCTACATAGTGAGTTCCAGGTCAGCTGGAGCTGCATGGAGACCCTATCTCAGTGAGGTCTAACGAATTATTTCCTGGCTGAGAAGGGTCAAGAGCTCAATCACCCGGCTGATCAGCAAGCACATGTTGGCCCCCAAAACTAACACAGGACAAGATGAAAGAAAGAAAGAAAGAAAGAAAAAAAGGGGCTGGAGAGATGGCTCAGTTGTTAAGTGCACTGACTGCTCTTGCAGAAAACCTGGGTTTAGTTCCCAGCACCCACTTGGTGACTAACAACCATCTGTAAGTCCAGTTCCAGGGGATCCAACACCATTTTCTGACCTCCTCTGGCATTGTGCAACACGGATGTGCTGGCATACATGCAGGCTATACACTCATACACATAAAATAAAAATAATAAAAAAATTTTTTTAAAGCAATCAGTTTCTGGGGCTGGAGAGATGGTTCAGGGGTTAAGAGCACTGGCTGTTCTTGCAGAAGACCCGGGTTTGAATCCCAGCACCTACATGGCGGCTAACAATCGTCAGGAACTCCAGTTCCAGGGGATCAAAGACCCTCTTCTGTCCTCCGCAGGTACCTCACAACACGGGTGCGCTTACATGCATGCAGGCATAACACTCATACACATAAAATAAAAATAAATAATTTTTTTTTTTAAAGATCAGTTTCTGAGATATAGTCTTTATCTCCTAAGTCTTAAGTCAGGGCATAATTCTTCACCCTATACCTCCCCACTTCCAAATTCACACGGGCTGCAGCCAGAGAGTTAAATTCGACCAACAGACCAGTCTTCACCTAGTCACTCTTAGTGAGCTACACCTGTGGCATCTGCCTTAGCGCAATAAGTGAAAAGTTCAACACGGCCTATAAATCCTTTTCTCCACTTCCTAGAAACTTTCTATTTAATTTCGTCTTAGGCTGCTCGGATTCATTCATTGCCTTTGGCATTAACGTTGTCGAGGTCACTGAAAGCTTTCAAAGATCGGATGCGGTCCCACTTGGCTGAGAGCCCCGCCTTCCTCATCTGTAGGTCTCCCTCGCCCCTCAAGACTGGGAGGGCTGAAGCCGGGAAGTTGTAGGCAGTGTAGGCAACGTCAGCTGTCATTCTAATGACGTTCTCGGTCGTCTACTCACTCTTCTCGGAAGTTAGCATCTGGTACCTACCGTCGGTGACCGGGGTGGGCCTGGGGTCTGAGGAGAGCTTGGGGGCCCTGGGAGTCCCAGGTGTCCTAGGTGACCCGGAGGGTCTGAGCGTGGCGGGGGCGGCCTCCGTGGCGTCGAAGTCCTCCGCAGTCGCGGCCGAAATGGCCGCAGCCGGAGTGGCCACGGCCTGGGCGCTCGCTGAGGCGCAGCAGCCGAGAACCACCAGCAGAAGCGACAGGAGGCCTGGCGACCTCATGGCCTAGCAAAACGGGGAGTGCCCGGGGCCTAGGATCCCACGTTGCCAGGCAACCGCCACAGCCGGGCGCGAGGCATCACGGGAAGGGGCTCGCGCGGCCGCGCGAACCTACCGGAGGTGGGCCTGAGAAAGGCCAACCAAGATGGGGCGGGGCAGACAGGGGCGGGCGGTGGGCGGGACGATATCGGCTGGGCGGTGCTAGAGGGCGGGACCTGAGGTAGCTAGCTCCTCCCTCTGAGGGCCGACAGAGCCCTGTAAAGCTACCCATGGCACCATGCGGGCTGTGTGGGGGTTCAAAAATGGGGATTCTCAGGTACAGGTCTCAAGGAATTCCGAGTCAGCTAGGTCTAGGACACAGCCTAGGAATTAGGATTTCTGATAAACGACCGGCTGAGGGAAATTTTAGGAAACACTGTCTCAATGCGATTGTGGGTCTTCTGAAGAACTATGGGGAATTGAGTCACATAGCGATCCTTGAATTCTCTTTTCCAGATCACTGGTTTTATCTTTGCATTAGATGCAGCGTAGGAAGTCTCCAGATAAATTCTGTTCACTATGCTTGTGATGAGGGAGACAAAGGAACCTTTAACTTTTCTTTTTTTTTTTTTTTCTTTGTTGGTCTTTTTGAGACCAGGTCTCCCTGTTGCCCCAGTTGGCCTGGAACCGTTTATGAAGACCTCCAACTCACAGAGATCCACCTGCCTCTACCTCCTGAGTGCTGGGATTAAAGGCGTGTGCCACCACACCCGGCTAACTTTTCTTTTTGTGTGTTTTTTGTTTTGTTTTCATTTTTGAGACGGGATTTCACTGTGTAGCCCAGGCTGACTTCAGACTCACAGCAATCCTCCTGCCTCAATCTCCTGAGTACTTGGATGACAGGTGGGTCCAACCCATTTCTCCTTTATGACAGATTTTGGAAATTTCACACTACCCTCTTGTCCAGTCTCAAGCACCAGTGACCCTGATGTAATTTTATGGCATTTGACTTCCTTCAAAACTTGCAAAAGACCCGGGTTCGAATCCCAGCACCCACATGGCAACTAACAACTCCAGTCCCAGAGGATCCAAGAGTCTCTTCTGACCTCCTTGGGCATTGCATGACATGGGTGCACTTACCTACATGCAGGCATAACACTTATACACATAAAATAAAAATAAGAAGCCGGATGTGGTGGCACACGCTTTTAATCCCAGCACTTGGGAGGCAGAGGCAGGCGGATCTTTGTGAGTTCGAGGCCAGCCTGGTCTACGTAGTTCCAGGACAGCTGGGGCTACAGGAAGACCCTGTCTCAAAAAGACAAAAAAATAAAAATAAATAAATAAATAAAAATAAATAAAATATTTTTTAAGCCGGGCATGGTGGCACATGCCTTTAATCCCAGCACTCAGGAGGCAGAGGCAGGTGGATCCTCTGTGAGTTCGAAGCCAGCCTGGTGGTCTACAGAGTGAGTTACAGGCAGCTGGAGGTACAGATAGACACTGTCTCAAAAAGACCAAAAAAAAAAAGCAAATGTGGATTGCATCAACTCATACATTTTGCAAGCCTTAGGACACTGGGACTTTCCATTTCACAAGTGACCCATTTCTGCCTGGCTTTTCTCATCATTTGATCAACTGCATCCTGTCTCCCTTTACAGTGGTATAGTAACTCTCTTTAGGATGGGAGGACAGGATGGGAGGACACAGGGAGTAGCTGGGGCTAAGTTCCATGTTTTGCCCAAAACTTCAGCATGTGGATTGTGGATTTAAAATGTCCATCTGAGCCAGGCATGGTGGCACACGCCTTTAATCCCAGCACTTGGGAGGCAGAGGCAGGCAGATCTCTGTGAGTTCAAGGCCAGCATGGTCTACATAATGAGTTCCAGGACAGCTGGGGCTACAGGGAGACCCTGTCTCAAAAAAACTAAAAAAAAAAATCCACCTGAGATTACTGGTACTCTAGATTCCTTGTATTCTATGCCAATGCTGGGAGCAATCAAGGCCATTTCAGACTTTTAGCATTCTGTACTTGGAAGTCACCATGTGTGAGAAGCCTCAAATTCAGACAGAAGCACCCCCCGAGCCATGGCCAACTTTGCAAAGCAGTGTCAGTCCCTGTGCCCTGATTTTTAGTGTGGTTTAGGGTGAATTGGTTATTGTTATTAGGGCTAAAGTCATGGGCCTCTAACTGGTTAAAATCCAGTACCCTATTTTTCCAGTGAGTCTCTTCACTCTTATTCATCTGACCCAATTAGTTTCCAGATGGGGAGCTAGAATCCTGAAGCTTTGCAAAGGACTTGATGAGAGCCACAGGGTATTCACACCCATGTGAAGCAAGAGACTATTGTAGACACTGGGCAGTAATAGACTTCTAAACCAAAAGCCCAACAAAAATAATCCTCAGAAAGAGTCCTCCTCTCCCCATCTGCCTTGCAACCACCAAGAGCCTTTCTTCAAGTGTTTTCTGTGGGTCCCCACCACCACCACCAAAGCCTTATGTAGCCTAGGTTGACTTCAAACTCACTGTATAGTTGAGGATGACCTTGAACTTCTGATCCTCCTGTCTCCAACTCTCAAGTACTGGAATCTCAGGCATATGCTACCATACCCGGCTTATGCAGTGTTGGGGACTTATGCAAGGTATATAAGCACTCTGTCCACTAAGCTATATCCCTAGCCCCTCCTCAAGTGTTATGGAAATATAGAGGTCAGAAGACTATCTGGGCAGAATTTTTTCTTTTTTCTTAGGTTTTTAGACTGGATGTTACTGTATAGCCCCAAACTAGCTTGGAACTCAAGATCTTCCTGCCTTAGCCTCCTGAGTGCTGGGAATCCAGGCATGAGCCACCACAAAAGACTAGAATTCACATTTTTTAACTACTCTCAGAATGAAGTTCATCTATAGGATCACTGATAATGTCTAAAATTATCTTCCATACAATTTTTTTTTTGGTCTTTTTGAGACAGGGTCTCCCTGTAGCCCCAGCTGGCCTGGAACTCACTATGTAGACCAGGCTGGCCTTGAACTCACAGAGATCCGACTGCCTATGCCTCTGCCTCCCAGGTGCTGGGACTAAAGGCATGTGCCACTATGCCCAGCTCTTCCAAACAATTATAACCTTATATCCTATTGTTGGACCACACTGGATTTTAAATAAACTAGTTAGCTTTTTAAAAATGTTTTTGTTTTCAAAAAAAAAAAAAAATATATATATATATATATAATTGGATTGCAGCTTCCCAAATAAAATGAAAGGTGTAGGAGAACACACTGTGCCGGACACAGGGATTACTCAGGTGCTGACCTTTTGCTGGATCTGATCTTTTTTTTAGCCAAGCTAGTGAGGGAGTGTTCAGATATTACCCCTGGATACTTTTAGTATAGTTTCTTCTGCAGTTTTTAAAAAATATTTTACTTTTAATTATGTGTATTTCTGAGTATGGGTTTGTGGGCATGAATGTAGTGCACTTGAAGGTCAGAAGAGGGCATCAGATTCTCTAAAGCTAGAATTCCAGGCATTTGTAAGCCACCCAATGTGGGTGCTGGGATTTGAACTCAGGTCCTCTTCAAGAGCAGTATGCACTCGTAACCACTGAACCATTCATTTCTCAAGCCCCCCTTGTGCAGAGTTTTTGATTTATAAATCTTTGAGGGGGAGGCTTTTTTGAGACCTGATCACCTTGTATCCCCAGCTGGCCTGGAACTCAGTATGTGGACCAAGCTGGCTTTGATCGCATAGAAATCTGCCTGCCTCTGCTTCCCAGGTGCTGTGATTAAAGACATTTGCCACTACATCAGCCTAGATCTTTCTTCTGCATTAGTGTATAAACAATTTTGTGATTTTTGACATAGTCCTATAACCACAACCACAACTGAGATATAGAACAACTTTAGCATCCTCCCAAATGCCCTTGTACCCCTTTATATAAAACAATTTCTCCTGCTATCCCAGCTATTTTGTTGTTAGTGTTGGTTTTTTAAATTTTATTTATTCTATTTATTTTTTAAGATTTAAAATTTTTTTATGCATATGTGTGTGTGCCTGAGTGTGTGTATATGTACCATGTACCTGCAGGTAACCTGATATGGCCAGAAGAGGGCATTAGATTCCCTGGAGTTGAAGTTACAGGTGGTTGTGTGCCATTCGATGTGGGTGCTGGGAAACAAACCTGATGCTCTAAAAGAGCAGCAAGATCTCTTAACCTCTGAGCCATCTCTCCAGCCCTCTGTTGGTTTAATTTCATTTATTTGTGGAGGTCAGGAGACAACTTGGGGAAGGTGATTCTCTTCTTCCACCATCTGGTACTAGGATAGAACTCAAGATTATCAGGTTTGGTGGCAAACACCTTTACCCACTGAGAGATCTCACCAGGCCCTGTTGCTGCTGGGTTGTTGTCTTTTTTTTTTTTTTTTTTTTTTTTTTTTTTTTTTTTTTGGTCTTTTTGAGACAGGGTCTCCCTGTAGTCCTAGCTGGCCTGGAACTCACTATATAGACCAGGCAGGCCTTGAACTCACAGAAATCCACCTGCCTTTGTCTCCCAAGTGCCGGGACTAAAGGTGCGCACCTCCATGCCTGGCCCTATTGCTGCTGTTTTAAGGCAGGGTCTCATTCTGTAACCCAGGCTGGCTTGGGTTACAACCTCCCTGTGTACTCAAAACTTCAGATTCATGGTAATCTTCCTGCTTCTGCCTCCTCAGTACTAGGATTACAGGTGTGAGCTACCACACCCAGCCTTAGCACTTATTAAAGAGACTGTCCCTTCCCCACTGTTATCAACAACCATTTAGTCCCTGTTAAGGACTGAGTGTGTTTGAACACTAGCCCCCAGTTGGTGGTGCAGTTTTAGAAGGTTGTGAAACCTTTGGGGTAGAAAGTATGGCTGGTGGAGGTTAAGTCAGGAGATGGCTCAGTGATGAAGAATGTTTCCTACTCTTCCAAAGGACCAGAGTTCAGTTCCCAACACTCACATAGGGCAGCTCACAACTGCCTTTAACTTCAGTTCCACAGGATCTGATGCCCTCTTCTGGTCTCTTCAGGCAACTGCATGCACATGAGCATACAGGTACACATAGATGCACACACACACATGCACAAACAAAATAAATAAAAGCATAAATCCAATTGTGATACTTCTGGAATTA